AAAATCAAACTTCATCTTCTTCAAACACATGGTCCAATCGGACCACCTTCTAGCCATGAAGGCCGCCCGCTGGAGCAATCTTGGGGCTCTCCGAAACGGTGCTGGCCGCCGCCGCCGGTGGCGGTTTTTCGAGACTACCCCCTATCTGTTTTCCGCATAGAATCCAAAAATCCGTTTAAAAAAGTCTAAAAAAACCTATAAGGTCATGAAAATCGGCCATGAAAGTAGTGCCCACAAATTTCTACTTCAACAAATCAAGACAACGTGGGTACCATTCTCAAGTATTTTTCATGTAGATTTCAAATATGCTATTAGTTTCTAAAAGCAACCATTAAAAACTCTAGAAATCAAGCAAGAAAGTGTGCATCAAAAAATGAAAAATCACATATTCATCCACAAACAGAGCCTACACAAAGTAGGACTTCAACCCATGTCCCAGCATGCTCCTAGCAATCAAATGAGCCTAAAATGATACATAATAGTAATGATATGAGTTTAAGTTGTTATCTAACGGAAAATATTTTGGTGGTTCTTTGAATCTTGAACAACTTGAGTTAAGCTTGAATAAAACCATTTATTCCTCCTCTAAAGACCTCAATGATGGTAGATAACTCAAAAGAAATGAGAAAACTTGTGTAAAAAACTCAAAACGAAAATGGAAGCTCACTAGAGAAAGAGAGATATTTTGCCCTAGAAATATGAAAAATGAAGCCTCTTTTTTCTCATCTAGGAATTATAAGGTATTTATATGATGGACTGCGGTGATTTGTGGCGCAAAACAAAGAAATAAGGTTGTTTGAAAATTTGGCCATTTTGAGTGGGTGTGAGGTGGAATCCGAATTTGGCATGCATGAGGTGGTTTTGTTGTGTCCTTGCTGAGTGGAAAAGAGAGAGGAGAAAAATCAGAATGAAAGGGTGGAGATAGCACACTTTTTGTGCAAGTTTTCAATTTCTCTTATTATGGTAATATGGTGAAAAAGTATGCATGAGTGGTACATGATTTGTTTGGTTATTTTAGGTAATGATTTTGTGAGCAAAAGAGAGGTATTATGTGTGTGTGAATTGGTAGCAAACCATGCTGCAAGAAATGTCCAAGTTTCATGCAAAAAAAAATTCAAGAATAGTACATTAAAACCAAATTCACATAATCATCTTTGAAGCATAATATCTTGATGAACTTTGGCTTAAATGGTGAGTTCTTGTATTCAATGCAAAGCTAAGACCATAATGAACAATTTTCATGTTGATGGAAAGGTGAAACAAGCCTTTGAAGTTTGAGAAAAATGGAGTGTAAGTCATGTCTAAAATTATTCCCAAGATAACTTAGAAAAATTCTAAGTTATGAAACTTTTGACATCATTGACACCTTGACTTTAAAAGCACACAACTTGAGTTTTACACATTCAATCGAAGAGTTCTAGTACTCAAAATAAAGCTTGGAGGATGCTATAGAATTTTCATGTTCAAGGAAAATTCATTTGAAACTTGTATCATCATGAAAGATGAGCTTGAAAGTAGGTACTTCAAGCTGAATTTCTATACTTAGAAAAAATTCTAAGTGTTGAAATGTCAAAATCTCCATTTTCTCAACTTTAGTTTATCATATCTCTCAAACTATGGGTCTTTCGGACATGTTTCCTTCCATAAATTTATAGTTCATGATGTCTTCTTTAATTTGATAACAAGTTTGCCTCCATTGGATCAAGGACGAGAAAGTTATGGAAGTTGCAAGATGGCTAAATTAGGGTTTTCTACACTTAGAAAATATTTCACCAAAACCCTAATTTAGTCAAACTCTTGATTTTATGTTTCTCCTTGATTCTTCTTGTTCCAAACACATGAAATCACTTGAAAACACCTATCATGCCCTTGATTGACCTTGAGATCTAAGATTTTGACCCCATTGAATCACATTTGACTTTCGTTGACCAGATGAAACCTTAGGACTATTTCCACTGATTGAGGCTCTTGTGATAGCTTGTGATGACACATAATACATGTGGAGAATCTTTAAGGTGTGTATTGACCTTTAGAATCATGTCTTGCTCAAAGAATTAGCCACAAATCTCCTTTGAACCAAAACCCTAACTAGTTATCCATAAGATAGGAGAAGACGAATCAATGCTCGTGTTCTTGATTCAAGTGGTTGAGTGACATGTCTTGGTGATGATGGATACCTTGTGGCTCAGGAACACCACAAAGTTGAGCATGAACTCTTGATTGAGCTTTGAAGATGAAGCTCTTCTCTTGATTGTTGAACAAGACACCTTGATCCCCTGTCTAGAACCATTGCTATGTGCAAATGCTAATGCAAAATGATATGAAATATAAGTCAATATATAAGAAAAAAGATGGAAAAATTTTGGGGAGCCAGAAATATCTAGGTCCAAGATACATTTAACGACTCCCCACATCCTACAGCTGAAGAGTAAGGGGTTATTAGGACCACCTCAATATATAAAGGGAAAGCATGTAACACAATTCAAATTCAAACATCACTCACTCATCATATTCAAATACTTCTTTAAGCGTATGAATGATAACCTTACAAGGTAACTCATTTTCCACACTACATCGTCATCATGCTTTAACATTTGGTTATTTACACTGTCAATCTAGTTCACAGTCCAACATAATAAAAAAAATCTACTAAAACCTGAATAAAAAATCTTGACAATTATGACTCACCATATATCCATTTAAACATATCATATTGTAAGGTAAACTTTTATTTAATAATAAAATATTTACCATCAGACACTTCATCCACAACTTACTTATCAACTCCTAGCTCACCAACTTCCGATTCGACAATCAAATACTTAAGCGTCCAATCCAACAACACGAGATTCCTCAATGATTGAGTTGATAATGTTCAACGATATCATATATTTATCTATTATACATATTAGGAATATCAAGAAACAAAGTTTGCTATAATTAGATGAATCATTTCTAAAATGATTTTCATGATTCTATAATGAATATTCTGAAAAAGTTTCCACATCATTGTTATTAAAAAAAAAATACAAAAATCAACCATAGAAAGAGTATATAATTGTATTACTTATATTTTAAAATTTTAAAGTTAATAGTATAGATAGAAAGTTTTACCGTGTGCTAAATTATAATTTTGAGGTAAAAAGTTTGAAAATTTGAGAAAGGTATTGGAAAGATATATTTTCTTAAAAAGTTAATATTAAAATTTTGAGATGAATTAGATATAAAAAGATGGAAAGAAAACTTCTATAATATTCATTGAAACTTGTCAATTTTATAAATATATAATTAATATTATATAGAAATAGTAGGCAAACTGACAATAAATTAGTCATTATCTCGTTTTAAATGGTAAAATCAATCCTATTAAAAATTACATTTATTATCTTGAGAGACACATTATTATGCATGAGCCTTTTAAATGGTAGAATTAATCCTATTAAAAAATTAGTGTTAGAAAATTAAAAGTGTCAATGAATAATTAAATAAAAAAACAAAGACAAATTAATTATCCATTTCTCTCTCCTATTAAATGACCTTTTTTATTTAATTATTTATTATAAATTCTGAACCGTTAGATTAGAAACATGAGAAATGACATGATATATAAAAAAAGGAGAGGATCCAAATCCAAGAAAAATGCTAAACATGTTGATTGTCAGATCACACTTTCTCATGTTTAGCCACTTTACTTGAAGCGCTTTGAGAGCTGTCTGTCCGACAATAAAATCTCCATTCCTCAGTCCTATCAGTGGAGAAACTCAGTCAAGTTTACACATGTATGGTTCCCTCCTACCCATCCATATATTAGAACATCTGTTGGTCAAAGTGCCGATCTCCGCTCATGTGGGTTAGTCAAAAAGTTCACAGACACCTCTTTTTTCATAGATATTCCAGAACGCCTAAATATATCAAATAAGATATTCCAAAAAAAATCATGTCAGTATTTGAATCCTGAAAGCTCCTTACAATGAATAGTGCGTTTCCCAAATGTATCAAATAACGCCTTGCGACAACTAGAGAAAACATCAACAATAAGAAATAAGGGAATCATAAGCTGATATTTAAGAATGGTACAATATGCTATCAGAAAGATATGTTGGCCTAGACCATCAATAAGGATAGCAAGAAGAAAATCTTGATCGTGTGCTGCTTGTAAACAACTAAAAATTATTTTTTATCTTATGATCATATCAAACTTTACATTCATGTCCTGAACACTTTTATTAAAGAGGGCACTCGCCAAAACATGTGTTTTAGGAGGGACAACATCCTTTCTATTAAAACCGCTATGGTCAAAATCTAGATTCAAAGCACTACGACCATCCAAAGCTTTGTCGAAATCAATGTCTATACCATATATTCCACTATCTCTCAATATATGACTCTGTAACACCAAATATTGAATCCTAGAAAACACAAATGTGTATGAGGCGGCATCTATTGCCGAGTACAAACCTAACCCCTCAACTTTAATAAGTAAAAAAGTCATCCTCCATTAAAGATTCTTGAAAAAAGAATTCCACCAACCATAACATTTTTAGCTGCCATTCGCAACTCCTTATCAAACAAAATAACAGTTTTTTTTTTATATAATTAAGTTGACACGTTTTAAAACCCAATTTTTTTGTTTTTTTTTGGACAATACATATGCAAGGACGTAGAAGAAGTTTATTTAAACTTTTTTTAATTATGACAGAAGAAACATTAACTTAATAGTCCTCACCACTCTCTTCATAGACAACCTAGATCCTCTCCAAACAACTTCAAGAGCAAAGAGGACCTATTGGTTAGACCCCAAAACAGAATTGCCAAATGTAGCGGTGCATGCAAAGGGATGACACTCTGTTTCACCCAAAGCAAAGCCACGTGCAATGAACAATACTGTACTAGAACTTCATCGAAACGACACTGTTGGTAGCGGCTACCTCAAAATTCAACTCATTTTATAAGCCTCAGTTGCTCTATCACATCGATTAATAACAACAACAAGCTCGAAGATGCAGGAAACCGGCAAGACAGAAACATGGTTAAGGAAACACCGTTCTGTCTACAACTCAGCCACCAAACACCCTTTTATTCTCAGCATACGCGACGGCACTGTTCAATCTCATTCCTTCAAAACATGGCTCGTAAGTCATAATTCACCTACTAGTATTAGATAAATCTCTGATGAATCTTTTTAATTATGATTCCTTCATATGTTATTATTTTCAGGCGCAGGATTACTTGTTTGTTAGAGAGTTTGTTCCATTTGTTGCAAGTGTGTTGATAAAAGCTTGCAAGGAATCAGATGATAGTGATGATGTTGAAGTTATATTGGGTGGCATGGCTTCTCTCAATGATGACATATCATGGTTTAAAAAAGAAGCTAATAAATGGGGTATTCATCTCTCAGAGATTGTTCCACAGACAGCGAACAAAGATTATTGTCGGTAGGTTTATTAATCATCTGTTAATTGTTTTCTTTAAGGTAGTTTGATTTTGTTTATGTTGTTTTGATGTGACAGGTTGTTGGAAAGTTTGATGAGTTCAGATGTGGAGTATACTGTGGCAGTAACTGCATTATGGGCAATTGGAGTGGTGTATCAAGAGAGTTTTGCGTATTGTATTGAAGAAGGCTCAAAAACTCCTCTAGAATTGAAGGAGGCTTGTGAAAGATGGGGAACTGAGGGGTTTGGTCAGTACTGTCAATCTCTGCAGAAGATGGTTGATCGGCGGTTGCTGAAGGCTTCTGATGAGGAAGTGAAGAAGGCTGAAGTTGTGTTTTTGAGTATTATTGAACATGAAGTTGAATTCTGGAACATGAGTCGTGGAGACTAATGTTTGATCTTGTTTAAAAAAACCTTTGATTTATGTTATTATCTGTAAAATAATGAAAGCTTGTTCGTGTTGTTAAGTGAAAGAACAATTCTGAATTTGAAAGAAGTTAAGTTTATTTTGGATAACACATTCATTAGTAGAACGACTCAAATCACATGGAATTCAGATTTTCATTTGTTTCTCATCATTTTCTCAATCTAAACACATGGTAACACATACTATCAAACGCTAGTGACACTAACATGGTTATATGATCAAAACATCATAGAATCAACACATGTAAGGTTCATTAACATGCAATCATTCTATCCCCAACATGTAATTACTAAAGCAAGGCATTTTCATACATTTTTAGCATAGATCATTCTTCAAGATTGTAAAAGATTGCAATCATTACATAAAATGCCATGTAATTACCAAACAAAGGCATTTTCACACATTTTTAGCATAGATCATTCATCAAGATTGTAAAGATAGCAATCATCACACAAAATGACATGCAAGACTAAGCAAGGAACATTTTTTAACAAGAATATACGACAAATCAATTAACACTAGATAATATCTCCATAACAAATCAAGTAACACAAGTTAATATCTCCATTCCTAAACTTCACAAATTACTCAAACTTTAATATTTAGTGAGGATGCCATTCACTTTTACTCAAACACTTATAAAGTAATAAATTACACTTATAAAACAAATAGTCTATTCTTCCAGGCTAGAAAGATAATCTCATAATAGATTATTACATATATAAACCAAGAGACACGATAAAATATATAAACCAAGAGACACGATAAAAAACTAAAGTTGTTTATGGTACAATTCAATGAAAAAACTAGTTGAACAAAATTAAACTTAACTAAAAATTCATTTCGAACTAAAATAATTGGATTGGTATTTTTCTAAATCAAACCATTAAGCTCGAATGTAGGTTCTAGAACTCTTTTGAACAATGTGGTTAGGTTCACTAACCAATCATAACAGTTTAAATATTTTAAATATCAGTTTCGGTAATTTTTTGAACAGTCTTAATAAAAAGTTAGCATGAAAATACAAGATTTTGTCAATTTCTCTCCGAACAAAAGCATTACTAGTGAAAAATTTGGTGAGTCTCTTATTATTAGAGCACTTTTTATATTTATTTAATTGTATAAACATTAAGGAGAATGTTTGAGTGAAAGTGAGAGAGATCTTAGATTTAAGGGAAATCTTTATAGAAGTTCATAGGTAGTACTGAGAAAAAACCACTAAATTAGAAGAGTTCAGATGAGACTGTCGTGTACTATTGACTACTAATAGTGAATTCCTTTTCATTGAACCGATGTCCTCCAGACGTAGGTTAATTTTCATCGAACTGGATTAGTAATTACTTGTGTTATTTATTATACTCATTTGGTATTTTTGTTACGCATTATATATATATATATATATATATATATATATATATATATATATATATATATATATATATATATATATATATATATATATATATATATATATATATATATATATATATATATATATATATATATATATATATATATATATATATATATATATATATATATATATATATATATATATATATATATATATATATATATATATATTTTGTTTCAACATTGTATGTGACACCCTGTCATCTATCAAACAAAATTTCAATTATATTGATGAGTTATTTCCGTTCTATATTACATTTTTTATATTGAACTTTGAAATTAAACATTTGATTTGCAAGTATGAGATGCAATCTAAGAAGAGGGTGAATTAAGATTGTTGAATTTTTCTCGTATGTACACTAAATTTTTTAACTAGTTAAAATGTCGAAACACTACTAAAAAATTCGTATTTAGTGACCGAAAAAATTTAAAAATTGGTCTGCTTCTCGTCGAAATTGAACTAATGCACTTTTCTTTGTGAGGCTTTTAGGTATCCACTAAGCCATATGGTTCTTGTTGCATAATCTACATTTAAAATGTATATATTATTAATGAAATAGAACTTTCAAATATTATTTAAAAAGACTCTTACACAACTTCTCATTAAAATTATATTTTATCTAAATTAATAAATTTGCATGATTTAATTATTTATATAAATATATATTTTATTTGTTAAAACAATAAAAATTTAAAATTTAACTAAAAAATTAAAAAATAAATAAAAGAAGAAAATTAGGAGGGAAGTAACTTAATAATGAAAAAAAAAATTAGTGACCGAAATAAATTTTTTATGAGTTAATTTATATATAAAGATTATTTGAGACTGAAAATTATGGTCACAAAATATCAATAGCTAATTCGGTGGCTAATTTTATTTAGTGACCGATTTAGTGACTTTTAAAATTTTACTAACATGATGTATAATTTTGGTGGCTAAAATTTTTCAATCACTAAAAGTGAGTTTTCTAGTAGTGAAAGTGATTATATGAATGTTACTTAGAAAAAAGATAAAATACATAATTTAAAGTGGTTAAAGTAAAGAATCACTACTACATAAAAGACATTTTATCATGGTTGGGAAAGAGATACCATCACGATTAACCAACCGTAGTAAGGAAAGGCGGATAGTAAATAAATATACTGCTTTCCACCATGAGTGGTTATCTCAAACAACTGTGGTAAAATATATAAAGGTCATGCGTTCGATTTCCAACCATAGCATGGTATAAAATAATTGACACTACCTATCAGCACAGTCATCTTAATCAACCATAGCATATATGCCCTTTTCTTAGTACTTATGTTTTATATGTCATATTTTACCACAACAGAACTAGCAAATACGCATATATTTGTAAACAAAATATATATTTACGTCAAACCCAAAAATATAGGAAACATATAATTACAAAATATGACTATACTAGAATGTAACCAACCTAAATATTTTTTTACATCAAACACAAAAATATAGCAAACTTATATTACAAATTCATGTGTGATCAACTTTGTCTATAAAGCGCATTGAAGCAAAACTCCCAACGTGTACGAACGTCTTTAAAGTCTTCTCGTGAGAATGATGTAATGTCGTTAAACATCTATATAGAAAAAGTGAAGGAAATTGAAGATCACATGATTTGAAATAATAGAAAACTTAAAAATTAAAATGTTATTGTAAATATACACCTGATCCCAAAAATCAACGATGGTGGCAAATACAATGTTTAACATATGTTTCATGACAAAAACACACACTCGTATACTCCTTTATGTTTCCTCGTCTACAAATTTAAATATTTCATATATACATAACCACACATGCATGTAACTATAGATAAATGAATGTCACAAGTAATCCACTTACCGAAGGCATACAAAATGTGAGCTTTTTATTTCTAAATCATTTCAACATATTATGCCGCTCCACAATTATATATTTTGAAAATGATTTCAAGGTATTACATGATAAGTTAAGTACACTACTACAAAAAATATATACTACTCATAAAATATAAAATTACGTAGAAATAATAAGTCTCATCTTTGGTTCAAGTGGTCTGCCTAAGGAACATATGACAACTACCTTATTCGTCCGAAGAGAGATAATGATCAATTGTCAATGATTTCTGAATGAACACAAGCATAATTAGTACGTAGTTGGTAAAACATGGAAACTAACTATAATAGAGTAACCAGAATTTTAAAATTACTCACTCATCGATAAATGTTGCTAAGTAATATTCTTTATTTCCCTCCCTTAACCGTGATGATATGAATGTTTCAATAACTTTTGAAGAATTATTTGTAAATCGAATACTAAATGGATCCAAGAATCCCTTTATATCCGATTTATTTAATTCTATACAAACATGATGAAGGTTCCTAAATGGTTAAACAAAATGCAAAAAATAAGTGAGGAATTAGTTCTATAAAAACACGGTGAATGTACCATAATGAAATATTAAATTATATACTTACGTGCACCAAAACTGTAGTATTCCTATGTCCAATCACTCATTTCCAAGCATAAAATCCCTTATATCTTTAGGGTCGACATAAAAACTTCTAAATCTCGATCATGATCTAATTGAAGACGAATTAGATCTTTCTTATCCATAACGTGACATTCCAATTGGTTAATTAAATCTCCACAAGGAACCAATATCTCATTATGGATATCAGGATGGGCGACTAAACAAGTTCTTCCTATACTCGCACTACCTACAACAACTCTTATAGGAAACTGTCCATCATCTTTATTTGTACACCGTCGGACGGTACCACACAATCACTACATCACAGAAAATAACAACAACAAAATATATCCTACATTTCAGTCCAAACACTAAAATCCTATTTATCCACATAAAACACTATTTTCACATACCTCAACGAGCTCAACCATTTTTTCCTACGAATTTCCCGCTCATGTGCTAACTCATCTTTCAACTTCTTATTGTACAATGCATCTAAATCTTCCAACACTTTCTTTTGTGCTTCACGTTCACTTTCTAACTTCTTCTCAATAATTTTATTCATCTCTTTCTTTTGCATATGTGTGCTTTTTCTCAATGTACCAAATTAAAATATCAGGTTAATGCCTTCTCCAACACCAGGTACGTGACCACCATGCTCTTTTATTGTAATTGTTTCGAATAATATATCATGTCGTGGTTGTGGAACAAATGTATCTTGACTGACCATATCAATCAACAAATAAGACACAAGTCATAACAAATCATAACAAATCGATTTAGATTAGACATAACAAATCATATGCATAACAAATCCTACTTATAAATTTCTTAGCGACTACTTATGAGACATTTGAAATAAACTCTATAGTTGGTCTTTGTCGAGCTAGGTAGCGATCACAACTCATGGAGTCCTCATCTCCCATTTGTTTTTGTTTTTCATTAATAAAATTTTCTCAAGTTTCCTGTAACTCCCATGGGAAACTCTGTGTGGGTATTTGTTTTTTTGCCTTGTTTAGTGTAAGTTCTGTGGTTTTTGGATTGACAATATTTTGGTAAAACATGTTGTCAGCA